TATATATATATATATATACACATATATATATATATATATATATATATATATATATATATATATATACATATATATATATATATATATATATATGTATATATATATATATATATAGGTATATATATATATATATATATATGTATATATATATATATATATATATGTATATATATATATATATATATATATATATGTATATATTCACAATTATGTCACAATTAATCAAATTTTACTTAGAAAAAACACCCAATTATTTTACATTAAATAAAAATATTAAATAATAATGAAATGCAAAACATTTTAACGGTCTGATCAGCATATTTAATTTCTTTGGAGGCTTAAATTGTCCGTCAAAACTCACTATACACATTATTTAAATGCGTTTTATACTGTATTCACACTCCGCAGCACACACAGATTCAGTTTTAAAAATATAAACACCATGAATATAAATAATCCTGAATTACTCGCAAAGATATTATTATTATTATTATTAATAACAAGTGCTGGGCAGAGATTAGTCATGAATAATTGCATCCAAAATAAGTTTGTGTTTTGACAATATATATATATGTGTGTGTGTGTGTGTGTGTGTGTGTGTGTGTGTGTGTGTGTGTGTGTGTGTGAACTGTTTTTATTATTGATGTATATACACACACACACACACGCATGCATATATTGGAGAAAATGTTTATATTTACATATAAACTATATATTCATTTGATAGAAATATATCAATATCTATGTGATGACATGGTTTTATTTCTATGCATGTGTGTATGTATCATGTATAGATTATAAACATATGTAACACACACACATTTATTATGTCAAAACAAGCTGTTTTATTTTAAGTGCAATTAATCGCCATGAATCTCTGCTGTTTATGTTGGATCTGACTGATTTCTGAAGTATTATGAACTCTTCTGTTGCCTTCACCAGAGATTAAACTAAAGCAATAACTAGTTGTGTTTCTTGAAGACGTGTAATGTACAGTCGCATTAAATCTGAGCATCGTTTTACCTCATTCTGACGTGTAATTTGACATTTTTTACTTTACTGATGACCAAAGCAGAACGCAGCAGGTTCGAGGCCAAAGCCAATGCACTTTTACTCTTGTTCAACACTAATGAAATTCCTCACTAATCTGCTTTTAATGCCGGCGCAGGATTGAGTGTGTTTTCAGGGTCTTGTTTCGCAAATGACACACATTTAGAGTTCGCACACACACACACTCTAGTCTTCCATTTAAAGGGACGGTACACCCAAAAATAAGTCATCATTTGCACACTGTTTGAGTTTCTGTTGAGCACAGAGTTTTACTGGAGAAAAACATAGTATTTTTAGTATTAGAGTATATTCTTTTGTGTTCAGCAGAAGAAGAAACTTATTATGGTATATTTATTTATTTTGGGGTGTACTGTTGCTTTAAGAAGCCATCTGATATTATTAAGAAGTGTTTTGTCAATGATTTGTATGTTGGTTATGTGTTTTTCTGTGCTCTTCTTTAAAGGGAAATGCAAACACACATGTACTGTAATCTCCTACTGTATTTGAAGCAATGTGTAATATAGGATTTTGTATTTCTGTTGAGTTCTGATGATGATTATAGAGATGTTTCTCTATTAAAAATACTCTTTTGCTCAGCCTGTGGGTTTTATTACTGTGGAAAGTTGTTGGTGAAGGTTTTACAGTGTTTTAACTCATAAATGCTTTAGTTTTTTTCTAGTCAGTCTGAATTTTGGGAAGGTTTAACCCATGCAATTGCAAAAATGGGCATAAATTAAATTAATATATTATAATGCATAGTTTTATCATTTAATTTAACTTTAAAAATGATTAAAATCTCATAATACACCAAGTTTTCTTGCAGATTTTCTTCATACATGTATAGTTTGTCAAATTGTGTGACTTTTCTTTAAAGGTAAATGGTTAACCATGGTTTAGCATAGTTTAACCTTGGTATCTGTAGTAAAGATGTGCTTAAATATTGTTACTATACTGATTGTTTTCTGATATAGTCATATTTTGGACGCATTGTGAGTGTTAAATGCGCTGTTTTGAAACGCACAACAACATAAACACACGTTCATTTCTAGAAGTTCAGACGCGATCTCACACGGTGCATAAGTGGGCGTGGTTTACAAAGAACCACCGTCTTCCTATTGGTCAAGCAAGAGCTCGCTGCTCCGTCATTGGTCCGTCGCTGTTACTGGAAAAAAGAAACTGCGTTCATTGTGGCTCCAGTGTTCAGAGGTTAGTCCGTGCAGCATCTTAAGAATCCCCGAGCCAACATGGCCGCCGGACATATCCAGTTTCTCTCACCGTTTTCCACGAAAACAAGTTAAAAAAGTAGGAGTGTAGCGTCACATGACCGCTGAAGGCAGTTCCAATATGGTGGTCAGCCTGGCGGAGCTGCGTCTCCCGGTGATCGTGTCGTTGCTGTGCGGCTTCGGAGCCTGCAGTGTCCGGGAAGCGCGGGTGTTCGGGCTGCGGCTGGAGGACGGCGGACAGCAAGTGTTTATGCGCCAGCGGACCATCGTAGCTCCGCGAAACACCGTTTTCAGGATCAGATTGTTCGGATCATACCTGTCCAACGACAGCTGGCCGTGGGTCGCGTTCGCCGCGGCAAAAGCAGGTTCGGTTGACCCGTGCGGGCCGGAGGAGAACCGCAAAAACACAGCGTTTCAGGTAAACGGAGGATTCGTGTCTGACGAGGAGAACAGCGGGTTCCTGGAGGTCCACACTGAAGCTGAGAAGAAAGATGCAGGTTTCCATCATCTGTGCGTCTTAAAGGGCCAGTCCTGGGAGTCTGTGGGCTCGGATCAGCTGCTCGTGCAGGACCCGGATGTAGCGTCGGATTACATACCGCGGTGGGGTTTGGTACTTGTGGTCGCGCTTTTAGTGCTAATCTGTGCAGTGGTCAGGTGTTTAAATCTCAGTTTACTGTGGCTGGACCCACTGGAGCTTTACGTTCTCCACAGCTGCGGTTCTGAGGATGAAAAACACGCGGCCAAGCGGCTCAAGCCCATTCGCAGGCGAGGAAACGTTTTGGTTTGTTCGTTATTGTTCCTTTGCGCGCTAGGTCAATCAGTGCTTGGTGTGTTTCTGTATCGTCTGTATGAGTCCATCCTTCCTGCGGTGTTCACCAGCGCGTTCCTTCTATTCCTGCTAGCTGAGCTTCTCCCGTATGTTATATGTTCGGGTTATGGGTTCGAGATGGCGCCAGGTTTAATATGGCTGGCTCAGATATGCCTGATCATAACGTGTCCGCTGTCCTGTCCTCTCGGCCTCCTGCTGGATCTTATCCTCCGCCGGGATGTCAGCACTTGTGGCATTCGCGAAAAAACAATGGAGATGATTCGAACTAGCGTAAACGACCCGTATAACGAGTTTGTGAAGGTGGAGTTCAGCAAAGGGGCTCTCAGGACTAAAACGGTGGAGGACATCCTGACGCCGCTGAAGGACTGCTTCATGCTGCCGTCCACTGCCGTACTGGATTTTAGTACCATGTCGGAGATCATGCAGAGCGGATACACACGCGTGCCCGTCTACGAGGAGGAGAAATCCAACATCGTAGAGATCCTGTATGTGAAGGACCTGGCACTGGTGGACCCGGAGGACCGCACGCCCATGACCACCATCACCAAGTTCTACAATCACCCGCTGCACTTCGTCTTCAATGACACTAAACTGGACGCCATGCTGGAAGAGTTCAAAAAAGGCACGTGCATTTGTTAAACACGTTCAAAACAGTGTTATCGTTATCGCGATAATAGTATATGCAGTAAACAATACATACATTTACTTTATGCTTTATTTATTTAAATTTGACCAATCAGATGGGGTCTTAAGGCTGGTTTATACTTCTGTTTCTAGTGATCGACGTGACCCACGGCGCCTGCCATGCGCGTAGTCGTGCATTTATACTTCTGTGCGCTGTTTGTGTAGCTCTGCAATACTCTTTCGAAACACTAGCTGGCAGTAGGGTACGTTATGTTTCTCTGTATCGAGTCTCCGGTGTTTTGATTTGTCTGAACGCTACATTAATGTACGAGTAGCTAAAACTTGCTCATTTTGAGGCGGGAACCGATGGACGTGCAACAACATAAGTTAAACAAAACATTTGCAGTTCCTACACGAGATTCGACACTTGCTCCGTCGAGCTCGCGGCTCTCAGCACCGCCCACACTTGTCACAGCTACCAAGCTGACCAATCACAGACTTTATACTATGCATTATTACGACGTGTAGTAAATTGTTTTTGAGAGGTGCAAGTCAGTGTCAGCCACGGCGAGGAGGGCTATGTGCGTGCGCTCGACGCAGAACTATAAATCAGTAAAGTCTAGATTTTTACGCGCGATATGCACATTAATATAACAGCATTTTTTTAATGACACTGTACTGTGACAGTTGGGTTAAGGAGTGGGGTAGGCGTTAAAAAATACAATTTATTGGTTAATTTAATAGATAGCGTAAATAATACTTTGTACATCCACTGTTTTTACAGTGCTGTGGCGGTTAGGTTTAGGCTTGGGGTGGGGGTAGATGTTAATAAAATACAATAAATAAGAAATATTATAAATAATTCTCGTAAGCTTCCGGCTGCAACCATATCTAATATAGCAACAACCGTATAAATCTTTAGCCCTGCCCCCAGCAGCTGCTGATCTGCTATTGGCTGGAGTGGCTCAGAGCTGAAAATACAAGCTAATGAAGGGAAAAGACAACAGCCAATCAGAGTCAGAATAGGTTTTCGTTCCTTCATAGAGTTTTAAAGACTAAATATTTACACCTTTTTTGTCTGAATTAAAATTAATTAGAGCTGAAAAGTATTTTTCACCTGTTGATTTCAATATAATTTCATGAATATATATAATTATATTATATAAATATAATTTCATGATTTTAAAACAAATTTACAAAAATAACATTTTTCTAGGGGTAGGTGATATAGTAAAACATGTTATCGCAATACTCAACAACAATATTGTACATGTGTGAATGAATGCTCCTAAAATCATTCTGCAAAAATCTGATATTATTATTATTATTATCAATATATATATATATATATATATATATATATATATATATATATATATATATATATATATATATTTTTTTTTTTTTTTTACAAAATTCTGTGTAGAAATGACAAAAACAGGCAATATTTCACCCATTATATAATAAAT